GGGGAGGGGCAATGCAGGGGGGCTGGGCAGTACGCGGGGAGTGGGGGAGGGCAATGCAGGGGGGCTGGGCAGTACGCGGGGGGGGGGAGGGGCAATGCAGGGGGCAGTACCCGGGACAGCGGGGGAGGGGGGGGGACAGCGCCCAGCACACGGAGGCGAGCGCAGCTTCCAACGCCCCCCTTGCCCAGCTCCCCTTCCCCTCGCTGATTGGCTGAAGAAGCTGTCCGTCTTTGGGGCTGCTGCCACTCACCGGGCAGAATGCCGCCCCCGCCCCTCAGCCCCTGCATTGATTGGCGGGTTGGGAGTGGAGCCCCGCCCAGCGCCTACGGCAGCGCGGGGGACCCAAGAGGCCGCCGCCGCAGCAGCAGCGCGGAGACCCAGCTGGACACCAGTGCGGGGCCGAGCCGGTGAGTGCGGCGCTTCGCTGGGGGAGGGGAGACTAGAGCCCCGCCCTTGGGGGGGTCCCCCCGGCTGCTCCCCTCCCCCCAGCCCCGAATGCGGGGTCCCCCCGGCTGCCCCGCCCCCCATGCTTGTGGGGTCCCCCCCTGGCTGTCCCCAGCCCCGAATGGGGGTGTCCCCCCGGCTGTTCCCCGTCCCCCCAGTACCGGATTGGGGAGGTGCTGGCTGCCCCCATTGCTGGAGGGGAAGAGCCCCCGGCCGGGGGTAGCCGCCCCCTAGCTGCAGAGGAGCTGGGTGAGTAACTGCCCTCGGGCTCAGGTGTAACCACAGCCCCTCTGGGGAATGGGGGGTAACAGTCTGGTCCTCTTCCCCCTCCCACCGCAGCGCCCTGTGGGGCTCAGAGCCCCTGACCAGCATGGGGGGGGGCGGCAGCCTGCTGTGGGGTACCCTCCTCACTGGCCCAGCAGCCCCAGCTGTCACCTAGGGCCCTGCCGGGACAGCCCCCTTGCTCACCAGGAGGCTGGTGCCCAGCTCCCATCCCGGCTCAGCTGGTGCCCAGCGGGTGCTAAGGGCCGAGAGGGGGAGCAGCACCCACAGGGATCTGATACCGTCGTGGGAAGCCCCTGCTCCGTGGGTGGGGCAGTTGCACCCGTCCCAGCACTCTGCTGTCAGGGGAAAACCTGAAACCTTCTCATTTCCATTCCTGAGTTACGTGGGACCCTGAAGTATGAGTTAGGGGTGTTCCTGGTGTGCCCATTTCCGTCCCTCATTATGGGAGGTGATCCCCCCCTTCCCCCCATGAATTAGCTCTGTGATATTGTGTAAATATTCCTTTGACCTTCCTTCGTTGGTGCCCCTGTGTTAGGGGACAGAGCTGGCTTGTGGGTCAGAGGGATCAGGTCACTGGCTCTGTCAGCCTGGAGCATGCAAGCTCCGATCTGTTTGATATTGTCTTTCTGCTTGTGGTAAAGCATCTTAGTGTGCATTTGGGGGACACTTTGCAATGTTTCCCACCCACCCTCTCTTCCCTCTCTTTTTGTCTTTGGGTCAATGATCAGGTGATAAGCTGCACAGAATTTTTTAACTTCCTGTCAAATTTGGCAATAGAAGGGTAAAGCTGAGTTACTGTGCTGGTTAGTTGGCCAACAACTAGGAATAATTTCTTAGTGGACTTCTCAGATGGAATGTATTAAGAGGAGATATTGAGCAAATGTATTGACTTGATATAATTCTGTTTTCTCTTCCCTTCCCCCATGGTCTTCTGATGGTAAAAGGCCTACTTGCTATTCCTGTTCTTGCCACCATCAAGTTTCTGCACAAACAATATGTGTTCAAGGGGCACAGTTTCCCTGTGAATGTCACGTTTAACACTTTAAAACCAAATCTGAAAATATAATACATTAGATACAGAAATATTCTGCATCAGGCATCTGTTCCTTAAATATGATCACCTTAAGGCTCTGTTCAAGCCAAATATTCCTTCAGATATGTGTTTCCAGACCACTAGATGAGTGCATTTTTGTAAGCTGAAATAAATGTGGGAAGAATATGGGGCTGAAAATTGTTGCTCAGGGATAGATACTGGAGGGTTAGAAAGTAACACATGGTGTACTGAGCGCTCTGAATCTCTCCTCCCTTATCCCACTCTAGTTTAGCCACTTCCCTGGCTCTGCCTCCAAACATGGAAGTGGGAAAACATGCTCAAACTAGTCATAAAGGTGGAACAAACAAAACAAAACAAAAAAACAGGATATGCTGGAAAGGGTCATGTAAGTTAATCAGTGCCGTTTTATGCTTCTGCTGAATATGCCAGGTACTACAGTAAAGGTGTCGTAATTACTGCTATTATTATAAAATGTCAAGCTTATAGACAATTGCTCTCTTGGGTAGTGCTGAGGGTTTAATGAGGTAACTGCATTCATTAACTTCATTGCCAACAGGAATATGCTAGTCAGCTAGCTAAAAAATGTGGGTTGAAGTTCATCTTCACGTGGAAGATAAGGTTGCATCCTTGTGCTTCACAGTCTGC